AGCACACAACTTAGTTAGGGTCGTTTTCTTGCCACATTGCAGAACATGTCTAACGGGAGATCAAGACAATCTTCAAGTGCTTCAAGGATCTCCGATGATCAAATGATTGACCTTGTAACTAAGCTCCGGCAGATTTTGCCGGAGATTGGCCAACGACGTCGTTCTGATAAGGTATCACACATAATTTTCCATTTAACATTATCCTTCATGTAAACCTATTTTATCTGAAAGGAAAACATTTTGTTAAAAGAAGAGATGACATAAAATCAAAAAAGAAGTCGGAGCTTTTTGACTCCGGATATCAAGGAACATAACAACATTCACAACCTTTTTCTTCCATATACAAACAAATTTACATATATATTTTTTGGGCAAACAAATTGACATCTATTTTCCATTTAAACCATCATGACCTTGCATGCATCATACGCATAAACATGCATGCATCCGTACAAATATATATGAACAAAAAATATGCATGTGGTCTATTTGTTCTAATGGATGACTTAACGAGTTCCATTTTTTACCAAAAAATCGATATGGTTTTCTTTAGACTGTTGTAGACGTTTTAAGTGAAAAAAATACTTGGTTTTCTATAGGTTTAAGGAATTAGTTTATACTTCCATCCATGATCTATCCTGGTTATCCATATAATAATTTTTTTGTTGTTGATGATAATATGACTTTTTGTTGTTGTCGAAGATTTCAGCCTCGAAAGTGCTGCAAGAGACATGCAACTACATAAGAAACTTGAATCGAGAAGTTGATAATCTCAGCGAGCGTTTGTCTCAGCTTCTCGAATCCGTTGATGAAGATAGCCCTGAAGCAGCCGTTATTAGAAGCCTACTTATGTAATCTCTTATTTAATGAGCTCTATAATTTTATATATTTGTAACCTAATCGTCTTTATTATAATCAGGGCCTCTATTATTAATTGTATGAGACGAGTTTGATCTTTAATTTAATCATATTGCGAATTTGGTCGGGCAGTCACATTTAATTCCAGAGTCAAAAAAGTCTCCGACATATATATATGTGTAGCAGAACTGCATGAGTATGGACATTATTAAAATAATAAATCGGTGAGATGTAAATTTTTGATGGAGTAGAATCTTTCTTCTTTTTTATCCCTAAAAAAAACAGAGATTGTGATGTCTGAACTCGATTGTGTCAGTCAAGGACAGGAAAATTGTGATAAGAAATTACGAACATTTGATATATAGAAAGGTATTGAGAAAACTAAACC